AAGGGGTCCTTTGCACCTGCGTGCAGACTACTCGCAGCCATGGAACCCTGGGCTGACCAGGGTACTGCCTGAGTTCATTTTGCAAGGTGACAGAGGCAGGCCAGCGTAATGGCTGAATCCTTACACATTTTACTCGAGTTATTTATTTGTGTGTAATCTTTTCTTACAAGAATTTATGCTTTTAAGACAGAGACAGCCACTTACCTCTGTATCCTCTGAAGCCTAATAGAATGGCTAGCACAACTGTCAACTAGCATCTGTTGAGTGGGTGCCTGAATGAAGAATAAATGGTACCAAAAGCAAAATTGGAAAAGGTAGACATGAATCCAGGCAGGGAGAGTTTATTGCAAACCACAGGGTCCTTGCATCTGCACTCTGTCAGTTCACTTTAAAAATCTTTTATTTTTGTCTGTACATGCGTACGAAGTGGAGGAGGGGAGGCTTGCATGGCACCGCATGTGCAGAGGTCAGAGAGCAACTTTGTGGGGTCAGTTCTCCCTTTACCTCATGTGGTTCTCAGGGATTGAACTCAGCTTGTATGGTTTGTCGGTAAACTCCTTTATCAGTTGAGGCATCTCACTGGCCGCAATTAGTTTACATTTGAAAAAGTTCACTTTATTTTATGTGTGTTTCTTTCTGTGTGTTTGTATGTGCACCGTGTGCATGCTCTGTGCCCATGGAGATCAGAAAAGGACATTGGATCCCTTCTGGAACTGGAGTTACAGAGGGTTGTGAACCACCATGAGGGTGCTAGGAATTGAACCTGGGTCCTCTGCACGAACAGCAGCCCCCCCCCAGTTTAATTATAAAAGGACTTATTTATTTATAAAACCTGTGATTTGATATTGAATAAAAGATATCTGTCATTTGAGCCTTTTGTTTGAAAAGCATTCTAAAAATGCAGCAGCTGTAGTAATAGCAGCCCCTGGTGGCAGAAAAATGAATTTCTTTTATTGATCAACCTGGTGATTTGGAGCTGGAGTAGACCAGGCTCAAGGTTCTCTGTTCAGTGGTGTGTGGCAGGGTATACCACCACCTCAAATGCCACTTGGCATAAACATTATTTTGAGTTTAAAGCGATTAAGAAAGAGTAGGTGTCAAAAGACTATCAGGTGGTACCATTTCACATTATTAAAGCAGGAAATAAAACCTTCCTATGGAAATGGTCTCTTTACACCAGAAAGAAAGGTTTTTGTCCTTTTTAATTTTTATTTATTTACTTATTATTATTTCTGTTTCTTTTTCTTTTTTTTTTGGTTTTTTTTTCGAGACAGGGTTTCTCTGTGGCTTTGGAGGCTGTCCTGGAACTCACTTTGTAGACCAGGCTGGCCTCGAACTCACAGAGATCTGCCTGCTTCTGCCTCCCAAGTGCTGGGATTAAAAGCATGTGCCACCAACGCCCGGCATTTAACTCTATCTTATGTGCATTGGTGTGAAGGTATCAGATCCTCTGGAACTAGAGTTTCAGACAGTTGTGAGCTGCCATGTGGGTGCTGGGAATTGAACCCAGGTCCTCTGGAAGAGCAGTCAGTGCCCTTAACCACTGGTCTCTCCAGCCCCCTGACAAAAGTAATTTAAAGAAGGGAGGGTTACTGTGGCTCACAGGTGAGGGTGCAGTCATCTTGGTTGGGAGTCTTGGGCACAGGAGCAAGAGGCAGCAGTCCTTACCCATCCACTGCCAGGAAGCAGAGAGCACTGACAGCTAGGCTTCGGCTCATTTCCTCCTCCTTATTTAGTTCAGGGTTCCAGCCCGTTCACTGGTGCCACTCCCCTCAATTAACCCAGTCTACGCAGTCTCTCATAGGTATGCCCATGGGCTCGTCTCCTAAGTTCTTTCTACTTGATAGCAATGTTAACTATCATGGGAGGCGCACGGCTTTTCTCTATAGTGCAGAATACATATTGAAAACTCTTGAGGCAATTCTTTTTTGTTTTGTTGTTTCTTCTTTTCTCCTCCTCCTCCTCCTTGGTGGTGGTGCTGGGGAATTGAGCCCAGGTCCTATGCATGCTAGGCAAGACACCTGGGTACATCATGAGCCAAGTCTTCAGTGGCGCTGTCTTCAAACTGAGAGTGACATCACTTTTGAGCTGTGAGCTCTGCCACGCTGGCCTCGCAATGCTGCAGCTGCTCTAGTCTCTCACATGGAGTCTGCTCCTGTAACAGAGCCCTCACCCTTGCGAGGGCTTCCTAAGAGCCAAACAGAAACAAAAACAGAAACAAGCCAAGCTCGAGGATGTAGCCCAGTTGTAGCTGGCTTGATTAGCCTGTGCAAAGCCTTGGGTTCAGTCCCAAGCGCTCAAAAGGGAGAAAAAATAATTTTGATTTTAGGACATACTACAACATAACAATAAAAGTATTTCGTTGTGTGTGTTCATATGTGTCTGTATATGGGCATGTGCATGACTGTGTTCACACTCTGAGGCCAGAAGAGGGCACCTGGTGTTCTCTAGTATTTCTGCCCCCTCCTTTTGAAGCAGGGTCTCTTCCTTAACCAGGAATTTGCATCTCCCTTCCCCCATGTTGGAGACCAACAAGCCCCAACTATTTTCCTGGCTTCACCCTACTCAGAGCTGGGGCTACAGGCATGGACAGGTTGCCTGGCTTGTTATGTGAGTGTTGGGATGATGAACTTTTTTTTTTTTTTTTTTTTTTTTTTGGTTTTTCGAGACAGGGTCTCTCTGTAGCTTTGGAGGCTGTCCTGGAACTCACTTTGTAGACCAGGCTGGCCTCGAACTCACAGAGATCCGCCTGCCTCTGCCTCCCGAGTGCTGGGATTAAAGGCGTGTGCCACCAACGCCCGGCTTGGGGTGATGAACTCTTGTTCTTGTGCACAAACACTATTTAACTGCAGAACCATCATCTCTCCAGCTCCCGAAGTAATGTTTTAGTACATCAATATTATTTGTACACTTGACAGTCTTCTGAAAGAAAAAGAATAAACGCCCTCAGTTGCTGGAGAAATATACACAATCATGTTGGTAAACCCTACCAGACTTTCTCTGTAGGTTAATAGATTTCAAGTATAAAAACTTGAGGGATATATCTTAATATAGATTAACAGCATTACTTTTTTTGAGACAGGGTTTCTCTGTGTAACAGCTGTCCTGGCACTTGCTCTGTAACCCAGGCTGGCCTCGAACTCACAGAGATCTGCCTGCCTCTGCCTCCCGAGTACTGGGGTTAAATGTGTGCACACCGCTGACAGACAGTATTTCTAATATATGAGGAGCACTTGACCACAGATGGTTCCGTGGGCAAGGACACTTGCTGCCAAGCCTGATGACCTGAGTTTGGTTGTGAACTCCACACGGTGGAAGGAGAGCACCAAACTCCCAATGCTGTTGTCCTCTGACCTCTACACACATGGTGGCAGCTACTCATACACTTACATAAGCACAGTAAACAAATGCTAAAAACCAGCTCTTAGTAATCAGCGAAGTGACAGGAACCTTACAGAAAATGGGCAAGTAAGTAGAAATACAGGCAGCCAAAATATGTCCGGCTAAGTATCCACTCTAAAATTTAAGAAATGGGGCCCGGCTGGAGAGATGGCTCAGGATTTAAGAGCACTTATTGCTCTTACAGAGCACCTGGGTTCAGTTCCCAGCACCCACATCTGGTGGGTCATAGCCTCTTGTAACTTCATTTCCAGGAGATCCAAAGCCCTCCTCAGACTTCCTTAGGCAACTGCCTGCAGGTTGCACAAGCATACACTAGGACACACACACACACACACACACACACACACACACACACACACACACACACACACAATGAATGAACAGTCTAGTGAAAAGAAATGGAGCCAGAGACACGGCTCAGTGGGTAAAGGCACTTGCCGCCAAGCCTGACATCCAGAGTTCAGTCTCGTGGATCCACATGGTAGAAGAGAACCCATTCATGTAATTTGTTTTCAACCTCCACACACATGCCGTGGCATGTGGACACACACGGGGACACACACACACAGAGTAAATGTAATAAAAATCCGAGAAACAAAAAACTCCAAGATAGCCTTTCTACGTGTCAGATGGCAAATGCCGTAGAGTAAGTCGCCCTGGCCCCCCAGCTGGAAGATTAGAAGCTGTGTGCTTAGCAGAGCTGCTGTGTCCCACTTGCTACCTCTTGCTCCTCCCCGCTTTCTTCCATCCATTCTTTGCCACCTCCTGTTTGTTTGTTTTGTCTAAGATAGGATTTCACTCTCTGGCCCTGGTTTTCCTGGAACTCACTGTGTAGGACAGGCTGGCCTTGCGTCTGCCTCCTGGGTGTTGGCACTGAGACTAAAGGTGTGCGCCACCCCATTTGGCCTCTTTGCAATCTCTGTAGGAACACTAAACACTGAAGCATAGCTTGTCTTTAGGGTTGTTTTTCTTGGATCCACAAAAGCATTTCTGAAGTTGCCTTTCAGGAAGTCATGGATAACGTACACTTCGTTAAGGACTTAACAAGTACATAAGCAATGGCAATAGGATTTCTTAACTTGGGTCTGAAATGTCTACATAAAAGCTGATTTAGCCAGTCATGGTGGCACATGCCTTTACCCCCCCCCGCACTTGGGAGGTAGACATGGGCGGATACTTGTGAGCTGGCAGACAGGCTGCTCTACATAGAGTTCCAGGCCCGCCAGGGGTATATAATAAGTTTCTGTTTCAAAAACAAAATAACAAACATACAAAAGACTTTTGTGTGGGGTTTCTGCTTCAAGGTCTGGAATGAGAACAGCCACCCAAGGGTTAAAGCGATGCTCTTACTGAGCTCACAAGAGCTGTCCCACCAACCATCAAGTGCCTTTCAGAGTGACACATAAAACAGCGAAAGCACAGTGACCCTAAAGGAAACGGCACAGATTTGACTGTGGTCGAAGCTGTGGATGTGTGTTGCAGCAGAGGAGAAGCGAGAGCTGCTTATAAGGAACAGTGGAGGAGCCCCGCTTCGCGCTCCGAGGGTGCCTAGCCAGCGTTTACGGCCCATCTCGGCCACCGTAGCGGAGCGGCGATCAGCCGCTGGGCGGCGGGCCCTCCCCGGCCATGGCGGGCGAGCTGGAGGGCGCCAAGTCCCTGAGCGGGCTGCTGAGCGGCCTGGCGCAGAGCGCTTTCCACGGCCACGCGGGCATCACCGAGGAGCTGCTGCACGGCCAGCTCTACCCGGAAGTGCCCCCGGAGGAGTTCCGCCCCTTCCTGGCGAAGATGAGGGGGATTCTTAAGGTACAGCCTCGGCCGCCCCTCGGCGGCGTTCGCTCCGCTGCGCGCTCTGCACCGGGACACACTCCGGGAAAACCGGGGGAGACCTCAAGACGTCTCTGCGTCTCTAGTAGAGCCAAGTTCCGAGTGTTCTCCGTCCCGGACTCTTGTGAAATTGATGGGATGCAGCCGGGCCGGGCGTGGTAGTGCACGCCCGTAATCTTTGCCCCGGGGAGGCGGAGGCTGGCAGATTGCTTTGTGAGTTCGAGGCCAGCCTGGTCTACATGGCGAGTTCCAGGACAGCCAAGCCAGCCAGGGCTACCGCAGTGATACCTTGGTTGAAGAGAGAGAGTGAGGGCGCGCTTGCCAGTTGTGGAAGGTGGGGAGGAGCGTTAGAACGAGGCGGTTGGTGAGATAAAGGATAGATTAGCTGGAGTAAACACCATTAAAGAATCGACTTTATGGTGAAGAGTATATTTACCAGATGGAACGAAGTTATACATCAGACTGTCTTATGAAGACGATGAGAGGGAAATGTCACAGGTGAAATTAATTTAAAAAGATTGGTTTATTTTTGTTTTATGTGTATATGCGTGGTGTCTCATGTACATGTAAGTGCACTGCGTATGTGCCTGGTGCGTGCGGAGGCCAGAAGAGGGAGCCAGATCACTTGGAATGGTTGTAGGCACCACGCGGGTGCTGGGAACCCAGGTCTTATGCCAGAGCATCAAGTGCTCTTAACCGCTAGGCCATCGCGCCAGCCGGCACCCCAGTTTTGATATAGGGCCTCTTGTAGCCCACACTGGCCTTGAGCTCACTGTAGCGGAGGACGACCTTGAGTTCCTGATCCTCCTACTTCCGCTGCCCAAGTGCTGGGGTCACAAGCATCTGCCACCTTGTCCTGCTGTGCGGGGCGTGTGAAAGCTAGGGTCTACGCCGGTGCCTTGCTATCGCTTCTTTCCAGACAGGGGCTCTCACTGAATCTGCAGCTCACCGATTGGCTAACCCAGCCAGGAACTTCAGAGATCTGCTTGTCATGGTTGCTGGGGATCAGAACCAGGCTCTAGAGGACTGAGCCCAGCTGGTCTCCGCTCTTCTTTTTTCTTTCTTCCTTTTTTTTTGTAAGACGTTATAATTAACTAGTTATTTAAAGTATTATCATATATGCAACCACTCTACAATGTATTGTCTTCACAAAGTCTTTAAAATGTGTATTTTATATTTAAAACATTTTTAGCAGCAACTAGCCACGTTTCAAATGGTTAAAGTGATCATATGTGACTAATGACCACCATATTAATTTAGTCTGATTTAGACCCAGAATTAGTCATAGGAACGCTTTTGGTGCCAAAGCGTAAAGAAAAGAAAAACTAAAAATAATGCATTTAGGCCAGGCGTTGGTGGCGCACGCCTTTAATCCCAGCACTAGGGAGGCAGAGGTAGGCGGATCTCTGTGAGTTCAAGGCCAGCCTGGTCTACAGAGCGAGTGCCAAGATAGGCTCCAAAGCTATAGAGAAACCCTGTCTCAAAAGAAACAAAAATAATGCAAGATTTTGAAATCATAGTGGGCAGCCATCCATTTTATATATTAGAACAAGGGTTGAGGCATGACTCAGTTGATAAAGTACTTGCCATACAAGCATGAGGACCCAGGCACGTAAACACCAGGGGTCTGTAGGAGGATCTCTGGGGCTTCCTGGCTCGCCATGCAAACCCAGTCTGTTTATTTCAGGATCAGTGAGAGGGGAGCGGGACAGAAGGCTCAGTGGTTAAGAGCACTTGCTGCGCTTGTAGAGGACCTGGGTTTGGTTCCTACTACCCATGTGGCAGCATAACACAGTCTGTCACTCCAGTTCCAGGGGATCCAGCACCCTCTTCTGGTCTTCACTGGGCACCAGGCACTCACATGGTGCACTTACATGCAGGCTAAACACTCATACACATAAAATAAAAATAAATACATCGTAAGCAGAATGGGTGGTTGGACTAGGGAGATGGCTCACTGTGTGAAACGCTTGCTGTGCTAAAGGGAGGACCTGAGTTTGGATCCTAGCACCCAGGAAAAAGCCAGGCATGTTTGTAACCCGGCACCTTGTGAGGTGGAGAAAGGCAGATGCCTAGACCTCACCGACCAGCTGGCCAGCCTAGCCAATTAGTGAGCTCTGGGTTCAGTGAGAGACCCTGCACTAGAATCAGCAAGTGGGGAGACGGCCAGGGAGACAGCACAGCAGGTGAAGACACTTGCTGTTGAGCCTGATGGTCCAAATTCAGTTCATGGAAGCCACACAGTAGAAAGAGAATCGTGGCAAGTTGTTCCCTGGCCTGCGTATGTGTGAGCATGTGAGTATGTGTGGGTGAACCCCCACCCCCAACCCCATAGGCACACGAAGTGGAGAGCCACGGAGGAAAATACCTGATGTTGGCCTCTTGCCTCCGTATGCACACAGATAAGGAAACAAGGTGTCTTAACAGCCTAAAACACTGTTTAAAGATCAGGGTTAATATTTAATTTGCTATTAGAAACACTTATGCTTGGGCTGGAGAGATGGCTCAGTTAAGAGCACTGGCTGCTCTTCCAGAGGTCCTGCGTTCAATTCCCAACAACCACATGGTGGTTCACAACCATCTGTAATGAGATCTGGTGCCCTCTTCTGGCCTGCAGGCAGACATGCAGACAGAACACTGTGTGTATACATAATAAATAAGTAAATCTAAAAAAAAATAGAAAGTAAGAAAAAAAGAAAATGCCTCTGTAATATCAGGCCAGAGGGCATTTAAAAAATACGTATGCTTTTATTACATTTCTTTGTCTTTTTTTCAAGATAGGGTTTTTCTGTGTAGCTCTAGCTGTCCTGGAACTTACTCTGTGGACCAGGTAGACGAGGCTAGCCTTGAACTCAGAGATCCACCTGCTTGTGGCTCCTAAGTGCTGGGATTAAAAGTGTGTGTGCGTCATCACCTAATTTTTCTTAGAAGATTTGAATACAAGAAAAAATGCAATTACTTCACAGAAATTGATGGGAGTTGGCTCACGCAATGGGGGAGTGATGTCTCAGTCACTCGTGAGAGTGGTGTATACCCAAGGTGCTAATACCTCGGAGGGGAAGACAGTGGCTCTTAGACTGAGCCAGCTTAGGTCTTGTGCACACATAGCTCAACAAGCCAAAAGCTGCAGGTATAAACACTTGTCTAGCCTGTTCAGTCAAGGCTCTAGTTTTGAGTCAGCACCATCAAAATACAATTTGAAGTCTCAGTATAATTGTGGACATTCTAAGCAACTTTACTGGTATCATCTATCCTGACTAGGTGTCTTCTATAGGCTTTGTAGGAAATCTGGTATCCGGTTTGGTGTTTACTTGGTCCATGAGGATGAGGTGAAGGAGAACTGCGCGTATTAAAGGCAGTTACATCATAGGATCTGATGTTTGCTCCACTGCTTAGCTCTAGGTGATGAAGTTTGCTAGATGACGCGGAGAAGTGACTGTAAGCCGGCTCTTTTCTTTCATTTTAAATACATTGCTATGTAAGACACAGGAAACTTGAGGGTTTGAGTGGTCTGGGTTGTGAAGCTAGAGTGAGTCTTAGCTCCTACAATAGGCAATGCTTCCAAGAGCCTGTCTGACAGCACGGGCTCTACACAGTGATGGGTCTGAAGTACCAAGAGACAGCCTTGAGTAGCTGAGACTGAAATGTGTGTAGGGTGACTTGTTTCAAGTTTTGTTCACATTAGAAGTAAAACTTATTTTTTATTGTATGTACTTATGTGTAGTGCCTGTGCAGGTGAATGCAGGTGCCTGCTGAGGCTAGAGATGCTGGGCCGGCCTGGAACTGGAGCTACAGGTAGTTGTGAGTTGTCTGATGTGGGTTGCTAGTGTTGGCTCAGGTCCTCTGAAAGAGTAGTGCATGCCCTTAACCACAGACCGCTCTCCAGCCCCAGATGTCTCTAATTCTTATGGAAACATGTGAGTTTTAAAGCCAGGAGTGTCTGTTATTTAAATTTTATTTATATATTTATTTATTTTGTGTGCATAGGTCAGAGGATCACTTATGAATGAGTCCCTTCTCTTCTACCGCATGGAGTTGCTTTTGTTTTGAAACAGGGTCTCATTATATAATCTTGGCTAGCCTGGAACTTACTATGTAGACCAGGCTGGCCTTGAACTCACAGGACCCATCTGTGTCTGCTTCCTGAATGCTAGGATTAAAGGCTTGTACTGCCAGGTGGTTTCGGGGTCTAATCCAGATGGTCAGGTTTGACAGCAGGTGTCCTTACTCACTGAGCCGTCTCTCCCGCCCATCCATCTTTAATAAAGGGAACATATATAGATGTGTATGATGTCGGGATGTTATAGTATTCATAAAGAGGAGTGAGTAAGCAACTGTGGACAGAAAGGAGGCATCCTCTCTGCCAATTTGTTTTTAAAATAAAGGAGCTAACATTTTTATTTCCCAGTTCACGATACAAATGAAGGTATGGCAGATGGGGGAGTCCAGGTGCAGCACCATAGTCTCCTAGTGAAACAGCACACAGACCCGACAACTCCCCTGCTCTTTCTGAGTCGTGCCATGCCAGGTGAGCACTGTCTTATTGTTGGGGGCCTGGGAGTCAAGGGCATGTCGTCCCCATGGGTGTCCTCACTGTAGGCAGGCATCACCCCTGGAGGAGGGGGCCCATGTTGGGCGCTTGCATTAGTCCACAGTGAGGACCTGGGAGACTGGGGACAGGGAGGCTTGTGGCCCTTCAGTGAGGAACAGAATGGAGCTGGAAGCCGCTGTCCTTGTTGAAAGTGGCCCCTGTGTTATCATCAGGCGTGGGCCTGCTCTTCCATCCTTTTGGGATGCTTTCACGCTCCTTTTGTTTCCTACTGCTGCGGTGTCTTCCTCAGACTGAGTCATGGGTGAGACATGTGTCAGTGATTACAGCAAAACCACAGCCACCCTGCCAGATTCCAGCCCCCTCCCGTTAGACAGATCTCATTGTATAGACCATGCTAGCTTGACCTCATGGAGATCTGCTTGCTTCTGCCTCCTGAAGCCAGCCTCTGGCAGACTTCTTAAGATGTTATTTGCTACTTTTAAACAAAGCGATTATTTTAGACTTTAATGAGGGGCAAATTTATGGGATACTCCAAGTTAACAGCACATGTGGGGTAGGAAGAATGTAGACCATGTTCAAGGCTGGGGATAGCTTGGTAGGTAAAAGTGATTGTTGCAGGCTGGAGAGATGGCTCAGAGGTTAAGAGTACTGACTGCTCTTCCAGAGGCCCTGAGTTCAATTCCCAGCAACCACATGGTGGCTCACAACCATCTACAATTCAATCTGGTGCCCTCTTCTGGTATGTAGGCAGAACACTGTATATATAATAAATAAATGAATCTTTAAAAAAAAAAAGTGATTGTTGCACAAGTGTGAGGACCTGGGTTGGAATCCCTAAAACACACGTAAAAACTGGATGTGTAGGGGCTGGAAAGGGGCTTCAGCAGTTAAAGAGTACTTGTTCTTGCAGAGGGTCTGGGTTTGGTTCCCAGCATCCAAATGATGGCTCACAACCATCTGGAATTCCAGTTCTGGGGAATCCAACACCCTCCTCTGGCTTCCTTGGGCACCAGGTACACTTTAGGTGCACAGACTTGTATGCAGGCAAAATGCTCATACACATCAAATAAATCTTTTAAAAGTCTTAAAACAAAAACTGGTCATGTAGTGTGTCTGCAATTTGAGGAGATGGGAGGTGGAGACAGCAAAATCCCAGAAGCTTAGGGCCAGTTAGCCCGGCACACACAGCAGAAAGACATCAAAGAAACTCATCTCAAACTAAACAGCAGGTGAAGACAAACACCTGAGGTTGTCATTTGACACTATGGCACACACACACTCCTACAGTCACATATGCGAATGTGCACGCGCACACACACACACACACACACACACACACGCGCAGAACAGTCCAATCTGATTATAATATGAGGGTATAGTAAGGAATATTCAGTGGATTAGGCAAGAAAAAGAGAAGCGCTCACTCCTTTAATCCTGCACTTTCCTGCTTTGAAGCAGGCTATACACTTAACATATGGATGGTGGTAGACGTCATGTCTTTGAAGCAGGCTATACACCTAACATATAGATGGTAGTAGACGTCATGCCTTTCATCTAGAAAATCATGTTCAGCATAGAAATGGATAAAGGAGATGTGGAATTCCTAGAGAACACAGTGGGCACTCATTAGCAGTCTCCTTTTTTGATGTGCTGAGGATCAAACTCAGGATCTTATACTTGCTAGGTAAGCTTGCAATGCTGGCTAAATCCAAGCTTGACCCCAGGCAACAGTGATGAGAGATGCCATTCTGTAAATCTGTTTCTCTTATTGATTGTTGAATAAAGCACTGTTGGCTAATAGGGAAGCAAGATAGGTGGCACTAGGAGTCAAGGATTCTGGGAAAGAGAGGCAGAGTCAGACACCATGTAGGCTGCTAGAGGAGTGAGAGGTCCAGACCCTTTTCTCCGGTAAGAGAAACACTTAGATTAACAATTATGGGTTAAATACTTAAGTAAGAAACCAAGCAAACGGCCAACAGCTTTATAATTAATATAGTGTCCTGTATGTTATTTGGGGGTTCAGACAGTGAGGCAGGGCCCAGGCGACTGGTGGGGAAAACTATACTCTACACAACAGTTTTCTTATTGCCAACTACCTGGCGATGTGCTGCGCACCATGTTTCAGATCCCTAACTTTCACACTGTTTGCAAAGGTTATGTGGTATTTTCCTGACATTTGTACTGAATTCTTGAATTCTTCGTAGGATGGAGTCCTTCACTGTCCTTGTTTGAGACATTGGCACACAAGCTTTACCTGTTAATCACAGAAGGGCAAACATTTCATCTGCTTATGGATATGTGAAGCAGCCCATGCGTTCACACTATGGCTTGTGTGTGTGTGCACGTGCGCTATAGTGCATATGTGTAGATCAGAAGACAACTTACAGGAGTCAATTCTTTTCCTCCCACCACTCTTCAGCCTCAGCAGCCCGCACATTACCCAGCGAACTATCTTGTTGGCCCCATCCCTATAGTTTTGGTTTCTGGGTAGGGAAATTGATAAAGTAGTCATGATACCTGTAGCTGAGCCATCTCTGCAGCTCCCTATTTCCCCTCTCTTTAAGACTTACTTCTAGCACGTGATAGGCACTTAGATAGAACATCTGAATGAATAGATAGTGCTGAAGGGTGCCAGCTGCATTGAAAAGGTATGCAGAGTTGGGCACAGTGGTAGATGCCTGTAGTCAGTCCTAACTGTTGGGAAGCCGAGACCGGAGACTTGTGAGCTTAGGAGTTCAGAGCTAGCTTGGGCCATTTGTAAGTACAATACTAAGTCAGGGGTGGCAAATTATGACTGTAGGACTAATCTGGCCTGATGCCCCCATTCTGCTCCTTACCGCATGCCCGTCCTTATTGCTTGGTTGGTAGGTAGTACTATGGGTTATTAAACCCATGGCCATGGCCATGGTGGGCAAGTGCTCTGCAATGCAGTTACTGTCCCACTGCTCATGTTTTGATAAATAAAACTGTGCTGTAACACAGTAATATGCTCATTCTTTTGCTTCATTTGCAGCAGCTGTTGCCAGTATAGTAACAGTGGCTGCGACGTATTTGGTATTAACAGCCTAAGAATTTAACATTTACTTAAAGATGCTAACGCTTACCTTAAACATCTATTCTTAAATTCACAATGTTAGTATTTGGTAATAAAATGTGTAAATTATATTTAGAAGTTGGTCACTTGTAGATACCTAAAAATTTCAGCCTCCAAAGCTACAGAGAAACCCTGTCCCAAAAAACCAAAGTAAAAAAGTAAATAATAAATAGATGGATTATTATGAGCTGGAAAGATGGTTCATAGGTTAAAGCACTCATGTGAGCACACACAGACACACACACGCACACATACACACTCACAGATACACACAGACACAGATACACACACAGACACACAGACACTCACAGATACACACACAGACATGCACACATACACACACACACAGACACATACACAGGCACACACAGACACAGACACACACACAGACAGACACACACACACAGACAGATACACACACACTCGCGTGTGAGCACACAAGCCTTCAAAAAAGAAAGAAAGAAAACAGATGCAGGCCTTTAACCCCAGCGCTTGGAAGGCAGAGGCAGTGGATCTCTGTGAGTTCAAAGCCAGCCTGGTCTATAGAGCGAGTTGCAGTGTGGTCAAATCTACACAGAGACACCCTGTTTCAAAAAAACAAACAGAAAATTACCATTAGATTGAGGTGGTGGTACCTTCCTGTAATCCCAGCAGCTGACAGGCAGAGGCAGACAGATCTCTGTGAGTTTAAGGCCAGTCTAGTGTACATAGCAAGTTCCAGGCCAGCCACGGCTACATAGTGAGAGCTTATTTAAAAAAATAAGGGATATTAGATTAGACTTTCTATGTGGTCTTCCAAATATATTTTATATTTGGAAATTTTGTTCAGATTCAAAGGATATAAAAATGTTAATATATTAGTATAATGAAATGTCACAGTTTAATGTCTTAGTTGTCACACGAGAACTCAACATTTTAAGAAAGCCAGTTCAAATTGTATGGAAAATAACATCAATAACATGAAACTAAAAATTGTAACATCAAAAGTCTAAGAAATAATGAATACCTGGTGGTGTCTCTGCTAAGGCCACAAGACTGTAACTTAGTTGGGGTTGAGATTGAGTCAGCATGCCTTTCCTTTGCGGTCAGTTTTGTTTGAAGGATACAGGGTTCGGCTTTTACTCTGCAGGAGTTTCGTTGTCGCCTGGTCTCAGGTCTTGGGCCCAGGCGACGCTGTCTCAGCCTGGCTCAGGGTCTGTGGCTCAGGCTTTGGCGGCCGGGGCTGCTGTCCTCTTCCCTTCCTCTCCTTGAGCTGTGCCTCTCGCGACTCCTCGTTTCCCGTTTGCGAGACCGCTTCCGCCTGTGCGGACTCTTCCTCTCCGGCTCCCTGTCCCTCTTGGAGGAGCGGTGTGGACTGGAGCGGGAGGCCCTTGACTTGCCTGAGTGTTCCCCATGGCGGTCCTTCCTTGCCCTCCTGTCTGCGGAGTTCCCGGGGCAGCCAGTCCTCGCTGGAGACAGGTGGGCGTCTCTGTTAGCGTCCCTGAACTCGTTGTTGGGATCCCTGAACACGTGAAGGAAGTTGCAGTGCTTTCCTTTAGGACACTTTCGCATTTCATATAAGCCACAAATTGCGATTTTCCAGCGGGTCACCGGGCAGAACTCACACTGGAGCTGTCGCCCTGCGTACCACCGTCCGTTAAAGAGAGAGAGGGCGGCCTGGCACTCCTCCTCCGACCGGTACTGCACGTACACGTTGCCCCGCAGGTGCGGCTCCAAGTTGCAGCTCACCTTGAACTGAACCACCGTGCCCACGTTCCTGAACTCGGGCAGCACGTCGTGGTAGAAGTCCAGGAACTGCTGGTAGGTGTCCTCGTCGCTGTACTCCAGGCTGGCGTCCGAGTCGTAGTCGTCCCTTTGGCACTGCTCCATCCCGAACGTGGTGAACATGCTCTTGACGAGCAGGGTGGGGCTCGAGGCGGGGAAGTCGTGCTTCCGGGAGCACCTGCTGCCGAACCGGCACGCCCCGGTCTTGCTGTAGAAGGGGCAGCTGGCCCGGGGCCTCTCCAGCCGCAGCTCCCCGGGCGGCTCCGGGTTCTGCCAAGCGTCGGCCTGGCCCAGCGCCTGGTGCACGGCGCCCTCCCCCCCTCGCCTCTCCCGCTGTTGCTCCTCCCTCAGTTGCCGCTCCTCCCTCTCCAACTGCGCCCGGCTCTCCTGCGCTTCCCTCTGCCTCCGAGCGGCTTCCTCCTTCTCCTTCTTCGCTCGGAACTCCTCCTGAGCCTTCTCCTCCCTCTGCAGCCACTCTTCATGCAGCTTCTGTCGCTCCATCTCCTGCAGTCTGTCCGCCAGTTCCTCGTCAGCAGACGCTACGTCGTCGTCGTCGTCCTCCCGCGGGGCTGCAAGGTCTCTCAGCCGAGCCTTGTTCTGCCGGCGTCTCTTGCGTTTCTCCTTCCTGAAGGCAGCTCGGTGTCTCTTGTGGCCGAGGTTTTGAGGAAACACGGTCTCCGGCGTTGCCATCTTAGTGCAGAGCGCAGGCCCCTTCCCAGATCTCGCGATAATTTCCTTTTGCCACGCTGGTGAACTGAAAAGTCTCACCACAGCTAAGTTGTTCAGCTTTCAAGGGCTGTCTTCCCGAACAGCTGGCACCGCCAGGCTCAGCTGACCTTTTTTTCTTACCAGGCGTATGGGTTGAACTGAGTCACGGTCCTGGGAGCGCTGTGCGACACAGCAGGTGTGTGTACGCATGCGCCGCGCAGGGAGTCAAAAGCCGGCTTCTGGGTTGGAATGCGGCAAGCGTGCGAGCTTGCGAGCGCTTTGTCCGCAGAGCTGCGCTTGCTTCCGGCTTCTCCCCCCCACTTCTCCCGCCTGTCCGAAGCCTGCGTGTCTCTGCCACACCCCTCTGTTTTTGGGCGCCAGCAGCCCACCCTCCCAGGCTCTGCGCTCTTCCGTGGGTACTGGTGATAGAAATGAAGTTCTCGTGCTTGTTCGGCAAGGGTTTACCAATTTAGCCTCTCTCCGCCCGGTAACTCTCCAGAATGTTTCTTTCTTTCTTCTTTTTTATTGAATGCATTTTGTTATTTGGAAAACAGTTTGCATTTAGGGCGGTGGTGGCACATGCCTTTAATCCCAGCACTTGGGAAGCTGAGGCAGGTGGATCTCTGTGAGTTCGAGGCCAGCCCGGTCTACAGAGAACGTTCCAGGACAGGCTCCAAAACTACACAGAGAAACCCTGTCTCGAAAGACAAAAACAACAACAAAAACAAAACAGAACAACAACAACAAAACAAAAACTTTAGGCGCACGGTGGTGGCGCACGCCTTTAGTCCCAGTGCACGGGAGGCAGAGGCAGGTGGATCTCTGGTGAGTTCGAGTCCAGCCTGGTCTACAGAGAAAGTTCAGGACAGCCTCCAAAGCTACTCAGAGAAACTGTAGGGAAAAGGGACCAGCCAAAGAAACACACCCTGAGCAGAGCCAAAGAAACACACTTTGGCCCTGCAACCACAACCAAAGAAATGTACCCTGACCCCAAAACCAGTGCCAAAGGAACACACTTTGTCCCTGGAATCAGAGTCAGTGAAAGAAATGTACCCTGGCCCTAAAATTGGAGCCAAAAGGCTAAAAAGGACCAGAGAAAGAAACACACTTTAGCCCTGAAACCAGAGCCAAATCTGACCTTAATCCTGTGTAAAAAAGTAACCAATCCCGGAGCAGAGCTCTAGCCAATCTGAGCTCAGCACTGAAATCGGACCAATCCCTACCCTGGAAAAACTTCCCCAACCCCAGGAACCCCTATATAAACCCTGTGTATGTTCAGCTTGGCTGGTCCAGCTGTCTTCCAATAAACACCTTTGGATGAGCTTCGGGTGAAGATCTTCTTTTGCGGTGGCGACAGAGCAGAGGCGACCCTGGGCAGAGCAGAGCAGAGCAAGCAGAGGCGACCCTGGGCAGAGCAGAGCAGAGCAAGCAGAGGCGACCCTGGGCAGAGCAGAGCAGAGTGAGCAGCACTGTAACACTTGCCCAGGAAACCTTCCTTGGCAGAGCGGAGTTATTACACTCTGCTCCCGGCTCCCGCTCTCCAGGAGCAGAGCTGAACTGTAGCAACATTGCCCGAGAAACCTCCGGCCTAGCAAAACTGCTACACTAGGCGAACATCCCCAGCTGGAAGACCCTGTCCTGCCGGAGAGGGGCTGTTACACAGGAGAAGTCTTTCTCTGAGGCAAGGCTGTAAGCTGCCAAGCTTACTGCAACCTGTGGTGGTCCTTGGCTCCCGAGCTCCAGGATACCTTTCCACCTGAGCTGTGTAACACTCTGTATCCTTGGCTCCCGAGTGCCAGAATACCTGACCCACTCCTGGTCCATCCTGTCCCGACCCATCCTGAAATGCTTACAGAAACCCTGTCTGGGGTGGGGAGTGTGCATTTAATGTGCAGTGTAGTGTTATGGGGTGTTCACCAGAGAAGACTGCTCTGCTCTAACGTGTGTTTAAGGCAATAAAAGTTCTTGTTTGTTTTGTTTTTCGAGATAGGGTTTCTTGTCCTGGGACTCGCTCTGTAGACCAGGCTGGGCTTGAATTCAGAGATCTGCCTACCTATGCCTCCCAAATGCTGGAATTCACTCTTTAATGCAAGCGATCCTGGGACTCGCTAGTTGTCCAGGCAGGCCTTGAATTTGCAGGGATTCCTTTGTATCTGTGTAAGCATTTTGGGATGGGTCGGGACAGGATGGAACAGGGGTGGGTCAGGTATTCTGGCACTTGGGAGTCACAGAATACTGAGTGTTACACAGCTCAGATGGAAAGGTATCCTGGAGCTCGGGAGCCAAGGACTACCACAGGTTGCAGTAAGCTTAGCTGCTGTAACAGCCTTGCCTCAGAGAAAGGCTTCCCAGTGTATTGGCTCCCCTCCCGCAGGACAGGATCTTCTAGCTGGGGATGTTCGCCTAGTGTAGCAGTTTTACTCTGCAGGAGGTTGCTCTGCTCCCAGAGAGTGGAGAGGGGGAGTGGAGTTGTTACACTCCGCTCTGCCAAGGGAAGGTTTCCCGGGCAAGTGTTACAGCGCTGCTCGCTCTGCTGGCTCTGCTCTGCTCTGCTCTGCCCAGGGTCACCTCTGCTCCGTCGCCGCCGCAAAAGAAGATCTTCCCCTAAAGCTCATCCGAAGGGGTTTATTGGAAGGAAGCAGCTGGACCAGCCAAGCTGAACATACACAGGGTTTATGTAAGGATTCTTGAGGTGGGGAAGTTTTTCCAGAGTAGGGATTGGTCCGATTTCAGTGCTGAGCTCAGATTGGCTAGAGCTCTACTCCGGGATTGGTTACTTTTTTACACAGGATTAAGGTCAGATTTGGCTTTGGTTTCAGGGCTAAAGTGTGTTTCTTTCTCTGGTCCTTTTTAGCCTTTTGGCTCCAATTTTAGGGCCAGGGTACATTTCTTTCACTGACTCTGATTCCAGGGACAAAGTGTGTTCCTTTGGCACTGGTTTTGGGGTCAGGGTACATTTCTTTGGTTGTGGTTGCAGGGCCAAAGTGTGTTTCTTTGGCTCTGCTCAGGGTGTGTTTCTTTGACTGGTCCCTTTTCCCTACATTCCCCCCTCTTTTGTTTAATAAAACTGGGGTTCAGAAAAGGGGTGGTGTTATCATTAGAGTACTTCCTGCTGAATGGGGGCGTCGAGGTTCATGGGACAATCTTCATCTTTATCCAGATGTGTCCAGGTGTTGTAGCTTTCTGGCTCCTTAGCTAGGGCTGATAACCCTGTAATAACAACTGGTTGAAAGTTTGGTTAGAAATTTTTTGAACTTGTTGTTGAAGGAATGTAGACAAAAAATTTATAATACAGGGTACCTCTAGTAGAATTAAGAAAACAGAGAGAAGAGGGGTTAGGAAAGGTAGCATTCAGTTCCATATTGGATAATTAGTGATCCACTGGCCAAAACTATCAAGTTGTTCTTTACATTTATGAAGGTCTGTTTGAAGTTGCTGAATTTTATCCTTTACTATTCCTGACTGGTTAACATAAAAGCAACATTCTTCCTCGAGAAAGAGGCAAAGTCCACCTCTTTCTGCTGTTAGTAAATCTAGTCCTCTCCGATTTTGTAGTACTACAGCGGATAGGGAGTCTATCTGACCCTGAAGGGTGAGGATGGTTTGAGGACAAGGTCCTGTTGGGGTTGAAATGTAGAGGGGTGTGATGTTTGGCTATAGAGGGATTTTGGGTGTTCCATACCTGAGGATCTACCTGAGAGGATGGTAAGGGAAGAAGTGTGTCAGACTGTGTGGTTTGGAGGAGGAGGAGAAGGGGAACAGCTGGTGAACCTGAGGCCAAGCAGATAGGGGGAGCAAAAGAAATGGAGGCTCCCACTCTGGCTAAGAAGTCCCTTCCCAGCAATGGGATGGGACAGATTGGTATCACTAGGAAGGAATGAGTAACGGGGATACACTTAAAGATACAGTTAAGTGGTGGGGTTTGTTGGGCCTGATAGGGCTGTCCTCCTACTCTGACAATAGAGGAACAGGGGTGGGGATGTCCTGTGTATATGTCAATAAAGCACTGTTGGCCCATAGGGAAGCAATATAGGTGGTACTAGGAGTCCAGGAGGACTCTGGGTAGGAGAAACAGGGAGTCACGATGTAGCCCGCCAGAGAAGTAAGATGTCCGGAACTTTGCTCCAGTAAGAGAAATACTTAGATTAACAATTATGGGATAAATACTTAAGTCAGAGCTAGCCAGTAAGAAACAAGCAAGACCAACAGCTTCATAATTAATACAGCATCTTTTGTGTTATTTGGGGACTACAACACGGCAGAGCCCAGGCGATTGGTGGGGAAAAACCAAGCAGCTGGCAAAGAAAAGGCTTCTATCTATAGAACAGGAAGGAGTGCTTGGTCCCCAAAAATTTGTCAAGACTGAAAAAGTGGCTCCAGTGTCCAGGAGGAAGGAGATGGGCCTCCTTGATACTGTGATAGCTATCCGAGGCTCCCTGTCGGAGATGCCGGTGGTTAGGCCAAGGGAGCCTCAGCCCCGTCAGTCATCAATGTCCAGGCCAAGGAGGTCAGTTGAAGGGCGATCTGCGATTGATGTCCCCCTGCTGTCAGGAACATGGGGGCAATCAATGCCCCAGTGTCTTTCTTGATGGCACCTTGGACATAGTCCTGTTGGTTTACAAGGGTTTGGACAAGTCCAGGCCCAGTGGCCTTTCTGACTGCATTTGAAACAAGGACGTGGGAGTCTTTGTCCTTTGGGAGCCTGGGCTTTTGTTTTGGCTGGCCGAGAGGTTTTAGCCATCATCAGGTATTTTTGTTTTTGGGCCTTTTCATCCCTTCCATGGTACACCTTGAATGCCACATTTAGGGCTTCTGACTGTGGAGTTAGGGGGCCCTTTTCTAGACGTCTGAGTTTGGCCCTAATATCAGGGTAACTTTGGGAAAAAAAGTAGGTCATAAGGAGTTGGTTCCCATCTTGAGTCTCACGGTCCACATTGGTGTATTGTAAGAGGGCCTTTGTAAGACGGTCTAGGAATTGGGATGGGTTTTCATCTTTGTCCTGGATGACCCTTTGGATCCTTTCATAATTTACTGCTTTCAGAGCAGCCTTACGGAGACCAGCCAGGAGACAAGTTAAAAACTGCTTCTTAGCTAGGATGCCCCCCTGGGGTATTATAATCCCAGTCAGGCTCCTGGTCATGAACTGCCATAGATCCAACTGGGTAGGTATCATCAGTTTGATGGATATCATCTGCATAGATTCTAGCCTGTTCCCAAACTCGCCTGCGTTCCTCAGGGAGGAGATTGTTG